TTTAAGCTTGGCCCCCGATAGACCTGGACACGAAATACGTTAAGGGCCGAAGCTTCACGGCAAAAACGTAAATGCACGCAGCGCTGCGGGCCAAGGTACTCGTTAGTGGTCTTCGACGAGGCTCGCCGTCGCCGGACATGGCACGTTGGGAGCCACAAGGCGAGGGCCGCGCATCCGAAGTGAAATGGCCGCGGGCCAATGCAATGCAACGGGGCAGGAAAGCAAGACGGCCGAATGCGACGAGCCGATAAAAGAGCATTTAGTCGGCATAGCCAACCCAGCGTTCCAGTCTGGGCCACAGCGACCGCAACGCGACACGTCCGTGCACCTGCATCGCCCCCGATCCAACCTTTGAACAGAAAACCGCGGGACACCCACGCCCGCGACTGACCCCGCCCATGCGCCCCCGACCAACGCGCCGATGGACCGCGCGGACGTCGCTCCGTTTTTTTTCTTCGTCGCGGTCGGGACCGGAACAACGAGTCGCATTGGCCCCTGCTGTGTCGCAACTTGAAAATTATGAAGAGGCCGAGCTGGCACCGGAAGACCGGCTTGGGCTCGCGTCCCAGGAAACACCTTCGTGGAACACAAGGGCGCACCCGACCGTTTCGACGGTGACGTAGACAATGTACCACGCGCAGCGTCGGCCGGGTTGCGGCCACGTCCCGAGCCACGGTCGCACGCCGGCCGGGAACGCGGGCGCCACCTCGTTGGGCAGCCACATCTGCGCCCGGACGTGCGCCACCAACCAGGCGACTGCGTCGGTCCAGGCGCGGGATGACTCGGTCAGCTGCCGGTTCGCCGGGGCGAACCACGCGCGGTGCGGCAAGCCGGCGCCGCGGAGAAACTGCGCGAGGCGGCCCGGGCGCTGCAGCGAGAGGCCGCAGCGCAGGAGGAAGTCCACGATGCCGAAGGGCGGGCCATGAAAGTCGAAGCCCACGTAGCCTTCGCCGGGGTGGCGGAACATCGGCACCCGGAACCCGCCTGTAGCCAACAGTTCCAAATGTCGCAGCGCCTCTTCAAGTTGGTCGTCGATCCACGTCTGCAGCGCCGGCAGCAACAGCGCGAGGTCTGGGCACGTCAGGCACAGGGCCACGGCGCTGCAGGGCGGCAGCCAGCGAAAGATGTCCCAGTGGATTGCAGGGGGCTGCCCCGACAAGGTCGCCATGCGTGGGTCGAAGAGCGTAAGCGCAAAGCACGACAGCGACGGCTAGAGCGAAAACGACTACGGCAGTGACCATACGTGCGGCGCACAGGGACAAAACACGCGAAAGATTGAAATATCAGACTGTCGTCGTTGGGTCGGCTGCCCCCGGTGGAAACCGACAATTGAACCCACGCTCGCGACGGGCCCCGTCTACGCGCCCCCGACCAACGTTTCGATATCGGATATGGACCCATACTTCGCCTTTTTCCTTTCGTTTCGGCGTCGCGGTCGGACGCACAGTACGCACAGTCCACCGGGCAGCGGTGTATACGTGAGGTGCCATCGTAAAGACAACGCGCGGCAGCCGTGATCGCGGTTCGGGCCGCTCAATCTTCCTCGGCCGCAGGGTCCGGCGGGTCCGCAGCCAAAGCGGGCAAAGGATAGCCTCGATCCAACATTAGCCGCAGCCAGCGCTCCACCCCTAGATCAAGGCGACGACGGAGAAGGTCCAAGTAGCGCTGCATGGTGCGAACGCGGCCGAGGGTCGTCCGAAGAGCAGGACGCAAAGGCGCCCAGAGAGGGCCCATCTCGACCGCCAGCACCGCCTCCAGGGCTTCGAGCGACGCCACGATGCGATCCAAGACGGCCGCCACTTGGGAGTGCAAACAGAAGGCTGCCCACAAGGTGCGAAAAGATTGCACGGCAGCCGCGGCATCCATGGCTTTTGCGATGGGATCGGCGCAGGGCAATCAGATACGTCTCAAGTTGAAAAGCTGCAGAAGAACGGCCACGATCGACGCGACAAAACACCACGGCCTGCGGGCACGCAACGGAAAGAGGTAGACGGGAAGAGTCGCGCAACGGACGACGCGGGCGATTTTTTCGCGTGCGAGAGCACCGTCTTGCGGGAACGAAAGCATTGGCCGAGGGCATCTACCGTATTACACGGCCAACGTCCTGCTCGACCAAGCCCTGTGACGCTGTACAGGCGCCCGACCGCGGTAGCCGGGCACGGCTCACGAGCTCGGCTCCCGCGCCTCGGCGATGCAGGGATCACTGCGGGAGTGCGCGGACGAAGTCAACGAAGAGCTCCGCGAGCGCGAGCGGGAGCGTTCCGGCTGCGGGGCGCTCGCCGCCGGACGCTTGCGTGGGGGGCGCCCCAGCGCACAGTCGGGCATCGCATCCGCCAGCGCCTCCAGCTCGGCGGTGTCGGCCGTGACTTCGCCCAGGCGTGCCAACGCAACGTGGAAGACCTCCAGGTCCTGCGCCTTGAAGGCCTCAGGCCCCGCGACGCGCAGCGCGGGACGCGGCGTGTCGGACTCGTTTAGGTTTGTTTCCCTCGGCGCGGCCGAGGCGCGCGCAAACGGGCGGCGACGTTGCTGCGCACGCCCGGCGTCTCCAAGATGTCGTCCAGGCGCTCTAGGTCGCAGAAGATGCAGCGAAGGAAGCCCCGGGGCGGCTGCGCCGCGTGCCCGACATGAGTGGAGTTGAAGACGCATGGCCGCAAAGCGCCCTCCGCAACGAAGCCCTTGCAAGTGCGCACCATGCCCGAAGCTGCGGGTCGCGACGCGAAGAGGCGGCGAGAGAAATGCGGGACGCGCTGTAAGCCTCAACGGCGTGAGGGAATGCAATGGCAGAACGATATAGCTATGGACACGTCCGTGGCCCGGTGCCCAGGACACGCGTGCAATCACGCACGGCGCGTTCGTCGCGGATCGAGTGAGACGTGCCCGCGCACGCACGCGCCTCTTTTTCCGCGGAATCCGAGGTCGTGGCAACGCGCCGCCGC